CATACCCTCAAGCCTTTTTGGTGGTGCCCCGTTGTTTGGAGGAATTTGGGAGGTGTCCCTTTGAATTCAAGTTCCCCCAAAACCTTCCATTTGGTTAAGAATATGCTGTTTTCCCCTGTCGGTTTTAGAGGGCATGTATCACTGCTGGGTGTTTTGGGTGTTTTTTTTGGTCCAGGGGACTTCCGCAAATGGAGGAAGGGGAGGGGGGCCATTCGGCCTTATCCCCGCCCGCTGAAGATCTGAACTCGGCCCGGCAACACCCTGAGACATTCAGACTTTCTGCGTGTGGACTAGGGGGAGTTGTGATGAACGAAATCCGCTTGGGCACAACTTGGAAACCATGGTTGAAACCATTGGTATTTACAGGGAAATCGAATCAGAAACCGGGGACTATTCACAGTATCCCACTAAAGTGGATCCTTTCGCCAGGGGCTCTGCAAGGCACTAAGATATCGGGGAAGAGTTCGAATCCCCCCCCCCCGCGCTCGCGGGAGAAAGACACATCGCCGGCGGAGTGTGATCGAATGAGGTGGCGGCCGTGGCAGCGCAATTCCTGTCCAAGGAGAGTTTGGTCACTCCCCATTTGACGGCTATATGTCTACCTTTTGGGGCGTCGTTTTTTGGGCAAGCGAGGTCAAGTTTCCTTGTCACTTGTGGAGTGATGTAAGGGGCAATATGGTGAGCCCTGATAGCACGACTCCACTTCCCTTTCAGCAAGGCAGTGGGATGACTAAACTGAAATGGGGGAATTGTGCTATCGGATACCATCTGCTGTCGCCGCAGTGCGGTGGACTTTAACAAGCTTTTCAGGAAAATCAAATTTTGGTGGTAACAAAAATCATGGACTTGTTTAGGGCCGTCCAAGCAGGAAGTGAGTCAATCCGTTCTAAAATCATGGTTGCTGAAAAGATAGAATGGTGTTGGCATGGGCGTTTGGTGACGAGCACATGACCAGAGATGGTCAACTTGAGCACAGATCAACGAGCAGGCGAACATGAACTAAACACGATCCCTCACCTGGACATGGGACCCTACCACCCCTCCCCCAACCAAAAAGAAGAAAGAGAGACAAAAACACGAAAGGAAAGCCCCTGCCCGCATGGAGTTTTGAGGCAATCACCAATGAGGAATGTGCCTGCCTCCCATAAAGCATCCGTTCAAGCGGCCCGCTGCCAAAAGGTGAAACTTTCGAATTTCGAGATGTCCATCGGGAAGGCCACGTAAGCGCTTATCGTGCGTCTTTACTTCCAATTTGCTTAAGGATCTGTGTTAATTTTTCCCTGTTGGCTTTAAAGGGAATCTATCACTACTGGATTTTTGCCAGTGGACTTGAGCAAATGCAAGATTATGGGTTTGAACAAAGGTCTTTATGCCCAAGGAGGCACGATGTGGCCATGGACCCAAACATCAGCAAGGCAGGCATGTCAAGAATTTGTGTGACTTCCTGTAGCAGCTTTTTTATTTTTTCATTTTTTAAACACGACTTTTCGAGGGCTCCCTGGATTCCCCGTTTGCTAGTGTCAAGCACCGGTGGCTCGCCAGTTTCAAGGAGATGTCCTATTGGAGGCCTCGTGGACCCCAAGACCCCAGCCAGAGGACTCTCCAAGAAGGTTCCCGTTCACCTCGAAGGTGGTTCGGGCGTGGAAACCACTTGGCGGTGGGCAAAACAGGTTTGGGATCCCATTTTGGTTGGTAGGTGAATTCACCACCCATTTTAGGCTTCCTATTTTAGTGGTTGGATTGGTTGATGTTCACTGGGGGTACGGGCTTGTGACCCATGGCCACTACCAGCTTAGTGCGTTGCGACTCCAGCTGCTCGCTGCGCCTCGTCGTTGGCTCACAGCTGGAAATTGAGCTCGCCTCCGGATGCCAACAGCTTCCCAACAAACCTTGGAGAGAAGAGGGGGGATCCCACTACTTTTCTTTGTGATTCCCAGCCATCCGGTTCCTTAGCTTTTTGAGCAGTTTAGTTGGTTTAGTGGGTGGGTTCCATTTAGCCCACCAACAGTTAGACTTTTAGCACAGGATCTGAGGACAACCAGTTTTGTCACATACCCATATGCAATTTCACAAGCCGTTTCTTCCAAGCGGCAAAGCTCAAAGAGGAGGCGGTAGATGCTTTAGCCTGTTCCCGCTACAGGTAAGCCACAAAGCGGGCGCCCAATGAAAGATCTTTCAGTTCCTCAGACCTTTGCCTTGCAACCAGTTGGTGGCTCCTCCCACTAAAAGTGTAAAATCAACCCTAAGGGTGGCTTCTCCAAAAGAAATGAAAAACCAACCCTAAGGGTTGCCTCGTTCTGCCGGGGACACAAAAAACCGGCAGGGTCCTTCAGGTTTCCTGAGCCGGATGCGAGCGCCATGCACGCAGTCTCGCTGGCGGCCCTGGAGATGTGGGGCTCTGAGATGGCGGTTTAAACTCAATTGAGCCACAATCAAAACCCGGGCAATTGAAGGTGAGTAAGGGACGATCCCAGCCATAAATGGCTGCGGCCGCCTTCTTAGTTCTTTACATGGTTCTGGGTCGACCATTTTTTTACCGGGTTATGCAGGTCTTAGTTGTTGGTTCCATTTACCAGGGTTAAATTTTTGGAAACCTATTTTTGACCCAAACCCAATTCAGTACCTGAGCCGCGTCCTGACTCAAAGTGGGTGGAGATCTGTCAGTCTGGAGGTGATTCTCACCTTCAATACTACCCGTACATTGAGTACAACCCTCAACCGCAAGAAGCAAGCGTCTTTAAGCAAGAAAACCTGGTTTTGGCGCACGACCCGAGGTAGTCCGAGCTTCGAACCCACCTGCAAATACTATGATACGGGTTCGTCGCGCATGGGTAAAACATTACGGGTTTGGCAAGGGTTGCAAATTGAGAACCGGAGGTTTTGAGCACAACCCCCGAGTTATGTGCAATTGTTGAAACACACCCGGTGTATTGCTTTATACACCCTTTATGTTTTAGGGTTTGGGCTTGCAGGGTAGTCTATGGTTAATTGCTAGGCCGTGTTTGACATGTTTTGGCATAAGACTCACTCCAATGCCAAACAAAGTTGGAAGTAGTCCCAAGACCCTTCCGCTTATGAATATAACCAATTCGAGAGCTTGCTTCTCAGTCCGGAAAGAATCGCTTTGGGAATGAACCGTTTGGGGTCCCCTGGGGAACCACAAGTGGTAGTTTGGGCGTAATTATTCCAGCTGATGTCCTACTGAGAGCAGCAAGGAAGAACCAACGAAGCACCCATTGGGGCCTGTGCGTCCTCTTTTTGGATTGGGTGAAACGCTTTGAAGTCAACTCCCAAACAAAGGATGTCCGTTTTACACCGAAATCGACTGGAAGACAGAGATTTCGTGCGAAAGGACATGATTCTCCATGGGCATTTTTTCACACGGATCACGGATCCTTCATCGTGCTTACAAGGCCTCCCCTTCAAATTAACCTGGACCCGGGTTAAACCAACCGGTTTGAAAACCGGCCATGAATGGTTTTACAGCGAGTCAGCCCCAGTTTCATGAGCCTCAGGAACAGCCGACCTCCTTTTGGATTCCCCTAAAAGCGGGCCATGTGTCTACGATCCAAAAACTTTGCCTTGAGCCACACACGTGACATTTGGTGCTATGTCTTGTCGCTGCAGGGTTTTCCTGGAACGAGGAACAGCAAAAAGCGGTCCATGGCCAGATGTTCTTTGGACCCTCTTTGCCCCCAGTGGTTAAGATTATTATATCCACTTCGGCCCGGAAATGACCATGGGTAGTACCATGTGAGTCAATTTTACTTAAAAACAAAAAAAACTATTTTAGTATTTTATTTTCTAGGTTTTAATTTTTAATAGATATCTTCTGAGTGGTTTCCCCCAATGGTTTCCCCCGGCCTTCATCGGACCCTTCCTTCATGGACTCGTTGTGGGGGGGGGCAAGGGGGGTTACTCCAAGACACTGGCAATCTCTCAGTTCGCAAGGGGAAGTTACAGGAAGATAAGTGCAAAGTAAAAGAGGTTAAAGGAGGCTAAAGGAAGATAAAGGGCAGCTAAAGGAGGCTAAAGTAGGATAAGGTAGGATAAAGTAGGTTAAATGATGTTGGGGCAGTTTATTGGAGCTCCAGTGCTCCAAAAACACTGAAATGCTGACTTCTGCCTTTCGAAAGATTGCAAGCGAACTTCCATCTCATAGCTGCTGATTCACACTGAACGGTTTTGCAGCTGTGATTTCTCAGCTCTGAGCTCATGTGAAACAATTATTTCTTGCGCCGTTTGGGCACTGGCTCAATCTCTTTGCCCCGTCCCCGTGCTCTGCCTTTGGCAGCTGGGGCTTTGGCATCAGGAGCTGCGGCCTTAGCAGGGGCCTTTGCAGCAGTGCTAGAGCTTGCAGCATCACCAGAGCTGCCCGGCTCAGGTGCATCTGGCTGTGATGAACTCAAAAGCCCAGTCTCACTTGTGAATTTTGATACAACCCTCTCAATCTCTTCTGCAGTAGGCCTCAGATAGAACAGGGCTTCACTGCAGCGAAAACAGAGCATAGCTCAAAAACCTTTAGGAAACACCGCAATTGAAATCTCCGCAACGGAACAAGTGGGAACCACTGTCTTCACCCCAGGAGCTCTTGTTGGTCGCTGTGCTCAGGTCTTCGGAGGCGATGGCAAAGCCACATCCAGCGGAGGACATCTTGCAGGGCTTCCTTTTCAGAAAGACCACGCATTGGCCCGCCCCATGTTGAATTCATGGATTGTCTTTCACCCGGGTCACCTCAAAGGGGTCAAAAGAACTCACAGGACAACAGGTTGACAAAGTCCCCCCTCCAAATGCAAAAACTTGTTTTGAACCCCAGTCCAAGGTCCCAGCAAAACACACATTCAAAAGGCCCCAATTCCACAGGGAATTCCACAGGGAACCTTTGTTGAGAACAAGTAAACCTGGTGGCAAACAAGCGCCGTATCACAAGCAGGTGTCTCAGAATAAGGGAATAATGGACCCCCCCCCAAATTGCGGTTTTCCCGTTGTTTGAGCCATCCCTAAAATGGGAAAAACAGATGCCCCCCAAAAAAGCCGGTGTTGGATGCACCTGGGTAGAAGCCTTGGTACACCTTGCTCTTGTTCCCCGGTAGGCGCTTCAAATACACATATGGCAAAGACCCACGGCCAGGAATAAGAGACTGCAAGGTTCCCGGTGTAAATGATTTCTTCTCATACGTGCCACTCGAAGGAGCCTTCAACACCACATCCTTTGGGACAGCGACATCCTTGAGGTCAGAAGCCACGGGAACCAGATGCTCAGGAGGGACGCTGGGGGGCGGCGTCTTTTTGATGTGTGCCTGGGCAGCCTTCTGGTTCTTGCAAACCTCTTTGATGTGTTCGAAGTCTTCTTGCGCAATTGGGTCAAGGGCGGATATTGCGTCCAAGAGTTCTTGGGGGCAAGCCACTGTGCGGGTTGCCCCCATCAACCGCTCAAACATGTCCTGAAAATCTTCTTGTGGCGCCATGGGGAAGTAATGGTTGATGGCGGCCTTTGCCAGGTCACTCTTGACTAGGGCCCCTCTCTTTCCAGACCCCTCCTTTTTTGGGGGAAGCTTGAAAGTTTCAGCCAAGTGCAAGCTCCAAAGCTGGTCACGGGTCAGGAAAATTCCTGAGTGAATTGCAGCAGGAACAATCTCCTCTTCGATTTGCGAGCACTTGATGACACAGCCACGCCCTGCCAGTTGCTTCGGCGCCAGGGCTGGCAGCGTCAACTCAAACGGCACCTTCTTCCACAAAGAGTCCCGGGCAACCGAATGGTTGAACATCCACATTGGAAGCGCGCCAGAGTCTCTGAACACGGCGTACACCTTGGTTACAG